GAAGTGTTCAAGGCCAGGTGGGACTGGGCTTTGAGTAACCTGGTCTAGTGGAAGGTGTCCCTGCCCATGGCAAGAGGAGTTGGAGCTAGATGATTTATAAGGTCCCTTCCAACCCAAACCATTCTATGATTCTGAAAGTTGTAAGCATACAGGAGACTTATAGTGCTATTCCCAGATCTTCACACTTCTCTGCTTTTCAAAAATGTTTGCTTTTGCCCAGATTCACGTGGTCAGCCTTCCTAGTCAAAATTTCAAATATTAAATTTGAACCAGTTGCCTGTCCCATTCAGGATCATGCACCTTGTAATAACACCCCGTTTTTCACAGAAAAGTGCGAAAATTATTAAATAATACAGATCAGCTTGCTCAGAGTGCTTGAGCACTTGGAAATTCTCTGTATTATTCCTTGGATGATGGTTAGTCGTGAAGGGTTTGCTTTAGTTGCATCTTAAATTCGTCTATCTTGCATTCATCTGTCTAGATATTCTCATGCTGGGGGAGGGGGAGAGGCAGTAACCAGCAGCTTCAGTGTCCTCGGGCATAAGAGACAGGAGTGTGCCAAGATTTTCTGACAGTGCAAAACAGATTATTAAGAATTGATGAGCATGTTCAGCTCCCATCGAAACACTCTACAACACCGATATTTTAAAAATGAGACGTGGAAGCTGTTAATAGCGCAGAACAAAGGAAAGGCAAAACTAAAGGCAGTCTCTAACACTGCTGCAACCTTATCAGTTTGAACAAACAGCCAACCTTCAACCAGTTGACTGGATCAAATTAATGTGTAAACATGTTGACAATGCTGTTCTTAGAAATGAGTTGCTTGCAACCTACAAATGGGTTGGTCTGAAGCAAGAGATTTCACAGAGGGCTAGCTTTTTTTTTTTCTTCCCCCCTTCCCCCAGCTTGTTTCTTTTCCCCCAGCATATTTCTTCCTGATCATGGTAGGGCTTGAAGTGTCTGGAACGTGGATGATTCACCTGCAGATCTCTCTGTGGTGACTCTTCCACAGAGAGGCTAATGCCTGCCTGGGAGAGACACATCAATGTCAAGTATCCTTTCACGAGAAGAACAATCTGAGCTATCTGTAAAGCATTGTAGAAACATCTGTACTCTTAATTATACTAGTACGTAAACCTTCAGACTCTTAGTAGATTGTATCTGTTTAGAAATTAAGTATATGAATCAGAATAATACACTGCAGTTGATTAAATGATACTACGTTGTGTTTATAATAGAACTGCAAATCTCTTTGTGTTCCTTAGTTCTTATGGTCGAATACTGGTAAATTTGGGTTAAATAGCATGGTAAGGTGGGATGTGGAGGAACTGCCTTGACGTGGTGCTGCTCCTTATTGACAAAATAGAGCACGCTTGAGCGTTTTAGCTCTGCTGGAAAGGGAATGCTTCATTTAGCTGGAGCTCTTCATTTGGTAATCAAAACCTCGTGTAAGGCAGGACTTTTGAGAGCTCTGAAGTTTGACCTTGGTCTGTTCTCACTGAAAGGAGAATAGCTCTTCAAAAATAATTCTCACTTTTTGTGCTCTGTAGTTTAGATAATAAAATAATTAAGTAGTTGAGCATTACTTTAATGCAAGAAGGAAGAAAACACCATAGAAATAGCTGAAATAGAAGCAACAGAGGTGGGAGATGATGAAGAGGAAGAAGAACAAGTACCAGTTTCAATGTTGTGATTAGTTCTATTAATGCACCCTACCAGTATTGGTGGTGTTCATAAAATGGGTTTTAGAGTTGAGTTGAAGCTGCAGTGCTTACGTAGACAAACAACGAGATGTTAAAAATTACATCTGTTGGCAGGCAAAGCTTCTAACAAACTGGACTTTAAACATAAATATTTTGGCTGTTGAAACCCTGTGAGCAAAAAAATAGATGAAAATTGGGGGTGGGTGTTTGAATTTTTAACCTGAAGTTAATTCACCTTGGGAAATCTAAGGCCAGCAGGGACGGTTGGTCAGCTCAGGTTATCAGTATACCTTATCTCTCCATGGCCATACTGCATGTAAGTTCCTTCCATTTTATGTTGTAACTAACTGTGTATATGTATGTACACTCATGGGCATTTCAAACAAAAACTGGATCATAAAATTTTCAAGGAAGGCACCTGGTCTTATCATCCATATTGCCTAGCGTGCTATTAGCAGCGAGATTTCCTTCACTGGGGTTTGTGAGTGTGCATACACTCAAGACCTCAACAGGTACTACAAGGAGTGACAGAAAAAAAAAAGTTGCTGCTGCAGGTTCTTACTCTCTTTCAGAAATGGCACCGAGTAAAAGCTAGGACTTCTGCAGCTCTTATTTCCGCCTGAACTTCTGGTTGTGTTTTCCCCAAATCTTACTCTTCCTTGCAACAGTATGAGGATTACTTTGGGATTTTGAGATGAGCAGAGCTTTCTAAACAGGAAATAAACGATGGCACTTTGGGTTTATTGTTAAAGCTCAGCTTCCATGTCTACTGGTTGCATATTTAGAAAATGGCCTCCAACTTTGCTCCATATCCATTAAACATTAAAACATGACAGAAGTACAAGCAGTTGAGAACTTTAGGTTGCTAAAAAGGAGGAGCAATTCACTTGTCTTTGAAACTTCCTCTATGAACATGTTCAACTACCCTCAATGGAAGTTTACATTTACCACGTTCTTAAAAATAATGTCACAGAATCATGTAGGGGTTGGAAGGGACCTCTGGGGATCATCTCTTCCACCCCCCTGCCGAAGCAGGGTCACCTAGACCAGGCTGCACAGGACTGCATCCAGGCAGGTTTTGAATATCTACAGAGAAGGAGAATCCACAACCCCTCTGGGGCAGCCTGTTCCAGTGCTCCATCACCCTCAAAGTAAAGAAGTTCTTCCTCATGTTCAGATGGAACTTCCTATGCTTTAGTTTGTGCCCATTGCCCCTTGTCCTGTCGCTGGGCACCACTGAAAGAGTCTGGCTCCATCTTCTTGACACCCACCCTTGAGATATTTATAAGCATTTATAAGATCCCCTCTCAGCCTTCTCCAGGCTCAACAAGCCCAGCTCCCTTGGTTTTTCCTCGTAGGAGAGATGCTCCAGTCCCCTAATCACCTTCATAGCCCTCCGCTGGACTCTCTCCAGTAGTTCCTCATCTTTCTTGAACTGGGGAGCCCAGAACTGGACACACTACTCCCTGGACACACTGCTCCATGTCAAGCCTCAGTAGAGCAGAGCAGAAGGGGAAGAGAATCTCCCTTGACCTGTTGGCCACACTCTTCTTAATGCACCCCAGGCTACCACTGGCCTTCTTGGCAACAAGGGCACACTGCTGGCTCACGGTTAACTTGTCAACCCAACATGGATTTCAAATCTCTTCTGCAGGCTCGTAGTAGTTTCTCAGTGCTAAAGTTACTGGCAACAGAAATGGCCAAAACAGGCATCAGAGAAAGGTTTTAAGCAAAAGAAATACCTTCTGTAACTGCTTAAAATTCTGAGCCGCCTTCTTACACTCTCCCCTCTGGGCCTTACTCAGTTTTGTAGGAATATGCCACTGGGTACAGTAGCAGGTGTTCATGCTCCCGGTAGTCTCCTTTGGTTTATTTTTGTTTTTGTAGAAAATGAAAAACCTCCTGAGGGTGGAACCCCTACAGGATTGGGGCCTTCAGGCTGCCTTCACATGACAAATCTTGCTAAAGTGCCCTTTAAACTGATTTATTGCTTTACTGCTTTCTATAAAAGTGGCCCCTGTGTGTGAGCAGCACTGACAGGTGAAGGGCAGAAACACAGGCAGCGAGCTGCTGCTGGCACGATGGGCCGCTATTCGGGCAGGAGCAGCAGGCTCATCCTCATGTGCGTGGTGAGCCTTGTGCTCTTTGCTGTTGAGATCTCAGTAGCCTACGTCGGCAATTCTCTTTCTTTAGCTTCAGATGCCTTTGCTGTTCTCTCTCACTTGATCTCCATGATCATCGGTTTGTTCGGTGTCAGGGTCAGTCGCATCAGATGGCACAAGGCTAACACTTTTGGCTTCAGCCGGGCAGATGTGCTGGGAGCTTTCGGCAACTCTGTTTTTGCCACCGCTCTGATGTTTAGCATCTTCTTTGAGGCAATCAAGAGGTTTATCAATCCTCAGAAGACTGAGAAAGCACTGCTCGTCCTCATTATCGGGGTTGTAGGTCTGTTCTTCAATGTGTTCAACTATGTTATTTTCATGGACTGCTGTTATTGTCATGCACCCCAAGGAGACACCGAAACAGGTAAATAACCTAACGCGGTCGCTCGACGTTCCCAGCCCTCTGCGATTCTGTTTGATGACTTTTCTAGGCACTGTTTACGGCTTCTCTGAGATGGGCGAGTAAAACGTAGTTTTCTTTATCCCTTTGTTGGCACGGGTAATGGATTTATGTCTGAACCCATACGTGTTTCCTGCTTAATCTGTAAGGCGGCCACCATGTGTGTTTCTCAGTAAATAATGTTTAAGTAGTGTATGTGTTGACTTTCTAAAGAGTACAGTGATCTACAAGAAGAAATTTTCTCCCTAATCCACTGGCTGGCCAAACGTGGGACAAGGCGTGCTCCCACCCTAAGGAGATACTTACTAGGAAATACCTAATCCTGAAATACCAATCATCCGCAATCAGTCACTGTCCATGCTTCAGTAATTCTGCTGTAATTTGTGTGTATGACATGGTTATCTTTCGAGAAGCGGTCACAGTTTGTATGAGACAGAAGAATAGGTAAGGGCAAAAGAAGAGTCGCAGCCTTCCTTGATTTGGGAGTAAAAGCCCACTGTTTTGAGAATATTTGAATGCTGGCCAGAAAACCTGTGCCTACAGAGCTGCAGTATTCTTTGCTGATGTTCGTTAACCCGTGCTTTAGAGACGGGCAGGGGAGAAACAGTCATACTCCCTGCATAAATCTTTTGCAGGAGGTTCTGTTGAGTGCACAGAGATTTAGTCTTTCAGTTTATTTTTCTCAGCACAGGATTTACAAATTTCTACATTTGGGAGGAGGGACAGGGGCTGGGTTTTATTCCTGCAGAAAATACCTCACTTTATTTGACATAAGATACACGCGTGTTCTCTCGCTCTACATATATATATATACACACACACACAAACATTTCTTAAAAACAGAAATATTTCAGTTGGGATAGGAAACAGACATTTGCAAAGCATTAACTGGATATCCTGGGGGGAATGCTGAGAGAACCTGTCTAATAAAGCAGCTGCTGTTACGTACTGCTCTAGGTGAGGTAAGTGAAGTTTAATATTTGACTTTCAGGCTGGATGGGGTTTGGAGCTAGAAATCAAAAGTTTGTTAGTTTACATTTCAATGCTTAATGTGTTTTCTATAGGAATTACAGTGGAAAACATTTCTGTTCATTATTAAAGGCACCTCCAGACAATACTGAAGCTTTTAACTTTACTGGTGTATAACGCTAAAACCAGATGCACAACTTGTTTTGCTGCCTGTTTGTTTCAATACCCAACTGCTTAAAATTTGAGCTGCTCTTAGACTAAAGTTGTGGTGGTACATAATTAGCAGGGAGATTTAATGGGTTTTGATGTTAGGAACTGTTACCAGTTCCTGACAAGTCTTAGTCCCCATTTGTGACAGATGCTTGGTTTTATCCTAGCAGAAAATTGTGCCTCTGGGTGAAGGCAGGGAGGAAGAACACATCAGCACTTAAAACAAAAAGTGGAGAGTATCAGGCAATTAGGGAGTTAACTTCAATTAATGACAGCTGTGTAGGTAAAGGCCCTTTTCACTGAATTTCCAGGATCCTGCTCCTAACAGCTCTCTGGGACAACACAGCCATCCCTCTCCCTCCGAAAGACTCACATCCAAATGCCTGGCAACTCCACTTTGCTTTCAGCTGAATTTCAGTTGCATAAGCCAGGGATGAATTTTGTACCATCCCATAAACCCAGTGTGTAGATTTGTTGGTGGTGTTGCCTCTCTGTTCCTGGTGCGGTGAATCTTCTCTGCTTGCGGTAGAGCCCGCAGGCAAGACAATGCCATTTTATACTGTAGAGGGAATGCTCCTTTCTTCTGGACTTGATTTTATAATCCCCACTTAGGTAACATTTCACATTTATTTCGTCTAATTCTCTCTACATTCAACCTGAGTGGGATTCTTATTACATGTCCTTTAAAAGAAATGTTATTCCCCAAATAGCTGTACTCTGAAAAGTATACATACATGCTTTATACACATTTTATGTATATATTCAAAACATGAAAAGAGAGGTTCCATATCTCTCTCTTGTCATCCTGTGTATAAGCGAAAGATACTCCTTCCTGGAGATAGAAGTTAAGGCAAATCTTCCAGCGTGTCAGCACCACTAGCAGAAATTGAAGTGGATGGACATGGTCTCTGAATCCTGCTGGTGCAATCCAGCTGTCCACAGGCAACACCCTTGGTGACACCTGAGCAATCTCCAGACAGTGACGGTTCACTGGAGAGTAAAGATCTGTAGAGCAGCTCTCTACCTTTTAGGCTTGAGAGAGCTGCCTTCAAATCTCTGTTGTCCAAGCAGGGGATGGATTTAAACAGCCCCCTCCTATATTGTATGTGATTGTTTGCGTCGCTTTGAAAAATACAAAGTGAAAAATAAAGATAGCAGTTCAGTCATTGAGTGCTGCATTGTAGCTGCTGAGTGCAGTGGGAACATCTAAATCCTCTGAAGCAAATTCTTCCACGTGTATTAGCGCCACGATTAATCGCAACAGCCAACAGTTCATCTCATTCCTCTGTTGCGTGGTCACCATCAGGGATGGATGTATTAGGTGGTGGGTTTCCTGGCTGCAGCTGACAACAGGGGCAGAGCCAGCCGTGCCTACAACGAGCGTTGGTAGCCAGGTCTGAGTTCCAGTGGACACAGAGCGGGGTCTTTACAGGTGCTAGCCCTGCTGTCCATCGTTTGCCCTTGTTCTGCTTCCCTACTCCTCATTTAGCTCATTGCAACCTCTACACCTCAGGTTCTCATGTTAGTACAAATATTTTTGTTGAGCAAGTATAAATGTGTTTCTCCAAGTTGCCATCCCAGCTTAGCCAGGCAGACCCAATTTCCCTCCTCCGCCCATCGATGGCTGGGTTTGTTTTGCTTCTCACCCCTTACTTTGCTCTCCCTCCCTCTTCTCTTTTTTCTGGTTCTTGCTGCCCTTTTGCTCCGTGTCCGACTCCCTAAGTCTTCATCTACTGCCTCCCCTCTTTGGCTCTCTCCCTCTCTAGATAGTTCAAATTCCCATCTGTCCCTCTGCCAGCTGTAAGCGCCCATCTACTCCCACCAGGTTAAATTAAGGTCTCTCTGCCCTCTAGGTCCAGCTTTGCACTTGATTCAGGCAGCATAGCTCCTCACGCTAAGTTAGCACTAAGAGGACAGGTCAGCAAGAATATGAGGAGGATGTGCCCCTATTCTTCCTCTTGATGCTGGCCCAGAGCAGCTACTACAGGTATAAAATATTTCTATGCTCTCTAAGGAACTGCCGTGTAGCGGAGGTGCTTGGGCCAGCTCGGCTATCCATAGCAACGTGGAGGGCAGCACAGACTAGTTATTGCTTTGACTTAAAATCCAGGAAATACTTGTTAAAAGATAAAACTATTAAAGCTTCCCTAAGAAACTTCTGCCAGAAGTTAACATTCACAAAACTCTTTTCTTACTGTTGCTGTTGGAAATGACAGAGCAGCTTTAGCCACAGTTTTCTGACAATTTTGAGGTCTTACACAGAAAGTTTTGGCACAAAAATGAAAAATATGGAAAAGTAATAAGAAGCTGAAAAAAAAGCCAGGCTCTTATAATAAATAGCAGACAACTTTAATAGTGGCCATACCCTTTATAGTCAGTCATAAAAATACAAGCCTGTTTTACTGCACGCAGAAATCAGCTTAGTCTTGTTGGTGTAATTGTCTCTACTCGTTTATATACAGTTTTAACTGTCAGGGGGACCACGGCTTGAACAGCACCATGTTAGTCTGATTACAGTAATTCTCTATTGTTTGTCTTGAGAAAATTAATAAAGATTTAAGATGGAGAAAACATTTGTCCTGTCGTCTTGTGATCTGTACAGGGAAGTCGGGGGGAAGTAGGAAATGAAGAAGATGCCTCCTGGCCCAACTGGTCTGATACCGAGCTGCCCATAAAATGGCTGGGGCTGTGAGAAACAGCTCCAGTCTTCTCATGAGATCCCTCATGGTCTCTGCACCATTCACAACTCATTACATAAAACACATTCTGTGTTAGCAGCCAAGCGGCTTGCTTTTCTGTTCTGGCAGGTGCAGTTTCGCAGCCATGTGCGTGAGCTTTTTATGTGCTAGCACTGTTGGGTCTTGCTTCTCCTATCTCACTGTGCACCACCAGCAGCCTGCCTCTCATTGGCATGTAAACTAGCAGTCACATAAATGGAAAACATACCTTCTTTCTCCTCCTAGACCTTATACAGAGTGAGTTTGTCTCTGCTGAGGCTTGCTGTAAGGCACATCTTTCTTTCCAGGCTTTTGTAAGTAGAAGAGACTTGGGGGTATACATGTGTGAATGAAGAGAGGCACTAGCTTTAATTCCCTGTGTGACTTGGGAAGGCTTTGTAGCTATAATATTCTGAACTCAATTTTTGCATCTGTTGTCGCAAACATACCGATCCCAGGGGAAGTGAGAACACTTAAAGGCCAAAATAAGTGGATAAGAGGCTGTTTGACCTGTATCTTAATGCCATAGACCTTCCCAGTGGTGAGCAGAAGTGTGCAGGTATTGAAAAGCAATTATATTTGTAGCGGCACTCTCTGTTTCAGCAGACCCAACAATCTGTACTGTGGGAGACAAAAGTGCTCTGGGGATTAAAGATCCAGAACAGAGGATTTCAGTTTCTTATGTTGTCAGTGTGAAGAATTTCACGATCACTTAGTTCACCTGCATTTAAGAAGGGAAAAATCAGTTCCCTGGTTTGAACAGATTTCTTTCTCAAATGTACTGCTGAAAGGGTGCCAGACTATGCCAGTTCAGTGGCTAGGAGACCTTTTTAAGGAATGGAAAGGAACCCTGGGTGTAACACCTGTAACAACAAACTTCTGGCTTATTGTGCTTTTCACACCTGAAAAGCCTGAAAGCTTTTCCTCAATGTCGGCACTACTACCTCTATTTGACCTCTCTTTTGAGTATATCTTCACCAGGTTGACACTAGTTTCCCCTGAAAGCACCAACCCTTCATTAAACACTTCATGACAATTCATCCTCTGGCTGCGCTCATAGACAGATGA